GAAATTGGACACACACTATAGATTGATGCCTCCCATCGCGGTGAGGCTTTTCCCCCTGTGATAAATGTATTGTAATTCGATTTTTCTCATTTGTAGCTGAACTGTCTTTCCTTGGAGGATAGCCGGGTTTTTAAAACACGCGCACCCCCTCCGCTGCGTGCTCACTAACCCAACAGAGCTGAATTTGCTAAACTCGCTGACTCCGAGCTCGGCACAGTTACTTGTTAGGAGGAGGCAGTGGCTCTCTGGAGATGTTCTTAAGCTAGCTCTGCCAACCTTGGCGTTTTGTTTAAGGTGAGCGGAAATGAAGGAAGAGGAGGAGGAAGAAGCAGGGGAGTATTTTTAGATTTCTTTACCTTGGGTTTGTGATGTATTGAGACCAAGCCTTCGGGCATTTTCTGGGCTGGCACGAGTCATTGAAATAACTTTCCCTGATACTCTTGATACCGCGTTTGACCCCGTTTACGGGATAGGAATAGGCTTAGATGAATTGAGGGAGGTGAGAAAGCAGCACAGCCCCTCTGAGGAGATTCACTCTTGCTGTAGAGACGGGCAGCGAGGCCACATTACATCACGGAGAAGATATTCATCATCGCGGTGGTCCGAGCTGGGTCATGCTCCCCAGTGAAACATCTGTTTCAATTCAAAGGATAAAATTAATTCAACAGACGAGGAAAAAAATCTCCAAAACTCGGAGCTGTGGGGGAGTACACTGTACCAATCGCTCTGACTGCTGCCAGCTACAACCAAAGTTCAATGCGGCATTAACAAATTTAATTTAGCCGCTGCTCATCTGGCGGACTATTGTGTACAAGGCGAACATCTGTAGGGCGCTCCTCCTGTGAGGCTCGGTTAGTTGGTGGGTGACGGCCATTACTCAGAGCAGGGCTGATGACCGGCCCAGACAACCATCTGTTTGGAGGTACGCCTCGCTCTCCTCTCAGATCCATCTCTGTCATGAATCTGTCTTCTGGTGCTCTCTGGGCTTTGTTTCATTTGACAAATCTCATATTCAGACAATAATCTGCTCTCCAACCCTGCTTCCATTTATTCTGGTTTTCATCACCAATATTAGGGGTG